AAAGAAAAAACCCATAATCCCTTCATGCCTTTAAACAACGTTTTTAAAAGAATATAAATTATCATTAATTAATGAGTTTGTTTTATTTATATTTAATAATATATTTAGTTTAAAAAATAAAGAGTAAAGAATTTTTTATTAATCAATAATACTCTAATACTTAAAAGGCATTGTAATTTAAATAATAAAAGAATCCTCCCTCTTTTTCATTTTTCTCAACTCAAACATTTTAAATAAAAAAACTCAATTATAACATAACACATTTCATATTATAAATTTACAAAATATCCTATTATATTATAACCATCATTTTCTATATATAAAAAAAGCCCCTAATTAATTAAAATAAAAGTCAGCCAAAAAAATAAAAGAATAAAAGTCAAAAGTCAGAGAAAGAATGGCACAAAGTACAAAATTTAAATTCGTACAATTGTCAGTTCCACAGACAAGTAGCAGGAAGCCTTCACTTCTGCCCCCCTCCATTCTTGAGTGTCTGGAATGGCTATCTTGCTTGTGATATTGGGGTTTGGTCGTCTCCTCTCATGCTCATCAACAGCAATGCAGAGACAGGAAGAGGAGGAAAAAAAAAATGAAAGGAAGAAGAAGATGGTTATGATAGTTAGGACAATAATGACGAGAGTTATATTCCCCAAAATAAAACTAGAAATATCCCCAAATGCGAACACTACATGTACAGAACAATAAAGATTCTTCAATCTTTAACCATCCAACATACTTGACCACAGAAGGAGGGGGAGTCAGATAAATATTCCCTAAACCAATTTTGATGAGATAAGTCTATAAAGCAAACTGAAATACAAAGGATTTGACTCCAGTTGTAATCCATATTACTGCAGCTTTCTTCATAAAAAAAATAAATAAATGCTAGAAAATGCTGCTTCAGTCTCATATCAATTAGTTAAAATAACCAAAACCCAGGAAAAAAAGTCTAATTTTATCATTTCACAAAAGTTTAGCAAAGTCATATACCAATAAAACAATTCATTGAGATCTTATTTCACTAACATCAATGATTCTTAAGGGACACCACTCACATTATTTACAACCAAAATGTCGTATTCAGTAAGAGTAAAACAAGCACACGTTAATTATTGTTCTTTCCAGAAGCACATTGTACAGGACAGAAACATTTGGTACGATTTACAAAGATCCTGTTATCACTTGCTGGGAAAGCCAAAAGGAAGGGAAAGCATAATTCTAGCCTCTCAACCAATCTTGTGCTGAACCCATAAAGGCCCCAAACTCAGTAGAACAAATCCAAAAGTCCATTGTGCATGTAAACCATAAGATTCGACCAACAATGCCATCCACAAACATAAAAATAAACAAGCAATTCTCTATTGAAAGACTAAAAAACAATGCTAACATGGGTATCTTGTTGCTAAAGAATGGCGCAACCATATTAATGCAGAAAACCTGAAACCATATAGGGATGACAACTTAAAACAAAAATCCAGAACCAGATATGGCAATACGCTGTTAAATTTTTTTGAGAGCACTATTTCAAACAGAAGCTTTCTTCAACTGGGTGCAGAACAAGATCCAAGCATCATTTACTTTAAAGAGAAAAGTTGCAGTTTTCCTTGACAGTTTCTTTTGCAGCAATTGTGCTCTAAACTTATGACAAAATAAAGAAATATAAAAACATAACACACGCACATAAACTTCATACCAAAAGATAGAGATATTGTCCATAGTTAGCTTTAGAGGTCATTATTTAGCAGGCTCAGTATGAATAACAAGATCAAGAAAGTAAGCAAATACAACAACTATACACATGAGCAAAATAGCTAAAGCATTTCACTTGCTAATTATGTGATCAAAACTACTAGTACAAATTAAATTCAAACCGGAAAACTGTTTCCCAAGAAAGATACAAAGACTAGCCTAGATCAGCAGTTGTAACAACTAGCACTCAGAAATGAACCACATCTTAAAGGAGCAGATCAACAGAAGTAGCTGTAAAAGCACAGCTAACATATTCACCAAGCCAGATTTTATATAGTCTGCAATCACGCAATCACGAGAACCACAAAAGGCATCTGCGTCCAATAAGCTGTCATACACCTGAATGACACACCCATCCATAATTCAATTGATCGCTCTACATCAAGCAAAAGAAAAGTCAATGCTAATTGGAATTAAGAAATAAGGTCAAACTAGTGACACAAAAAAAATATACACTAAATTCAACAGACCAATTAGGCACCTAAAGCAAATCAAGATAACAAGCAGACAAGCAAATCAAACAATACAAGCAGAAATTCAAATACCAATGAGCCAAAAACAACAAAAGCACCAATATCATCAGAACTACATTCAGCTTTTCCTCAAAAAAAGAACAGGGCATGGAACCCTCTATTAACTACAACTTAAGTATCATTTTAAACCAAGTATATAGCTAACCTTACAAAATATTTAGCCCATGTTATTACGAGAAGTTGCCCAAAGCCAAACACCAATAACCAAACAACTCTTAAGTAGGACCAATGACAAAGCTCTGATATCAAGTCCAGACATCTACCAAGACAGAATGTCAGAATGTTTGCTTGTCAATCAAGCAAGGCAGAATGCTCCAGTTAGTTAAACCTTGATTAAAGAAAAAAGAGAATAGAATGAAAATAAACTTTCGTTTTTCACCAATTAATGCAAATCCAAGAAGCAAAATAAGAAATAACAAAGATATGCCAAAAAAAAAAAAAAGAATATGAACATGCAACAATCCATAAATTTCAACCTTTAACGGGAACAACAGGCACTAACAAGAGACAAATTCACAAACAAATGACACATAATAGTCTCTTAAAAATGGCAATCAAGATAGTAATTTGTGATTCATCTGGTCCAATTTTATTACATCTCCTTTAGAAAACGAAGCCTCACAATTCCACACTAATACGACCCTTTATAAATCCCTATTAGAACTGAATTGAACAAGATGATGCACAGAACAAGATAGCGTGGTAATTTGTCTCACCAACCCCTAAACAATGAAAGACGATCAAAAAAGGAGATGAAGAAAAAGTAAAGACACAGGAAGTCAGGAAAAGAACATAGACAGTACATGCGCGCGCGCGCGGACACACACACAAAGACAAGCAAGAAGATCTTTCGGTTTTAAGAAAATTTGAGAATACTTGTTCATCTTAAGTCAATACCAAACAAAGGCAAAACCAAAAACTATCCGCTAAAATAAAAGTTTTAGACAATGACACCAATGTCTTAAATTCGAATACTGACAAAACCAACATCCACTGAAATTTTATTTTCAGGAAAAGAGGATTGCAGCGAAGATGAGCATGGGTTACAATGTCTGAAAATTATAACAGAGAAGCCCAATGAAAGCTCTTATGTAAGGTAGAAAAGGCTTTTGTAAATGGATCCCTTTATAATGTTCAAAGGTCACTGATTAATAGAATAATCTGACATTTAAAATTACTGTTGTTACATAGACCAATGCCTACAATACATACCAATTTGCTGGTTGATTATACTGCAAATATCAACTAACAAAAAGTAGAAATAGACAGTATAACATATGGCCCTATCTCAAGTAACTGAAATGCAAACTGTAAATTCACCCTTTATAATGACTAATCCCTACAATACGTACAGACACGCATACAATACAACAGTAGCAGTGAAGCAAGACAAACAAATAAAGTTTCAACAATTTATTATAATGAACAAACATCCACAATAAAGCACACATGCTAACACAAGCAAAAGCATGTAGTCATTCCAACTTTACACTAACAGTTTGCGGACTTAGTATATCAGGACGTGAAATTGAGAACTTACCTCAGTAGTAAGGCACATTGGTATACAATTCTCCAGGTGGAACCCTTGGCGAAGGCGATGCCTCTGTTCCTTGGTGATGCTGACCCGGAAAGGTTGAATAGTTTTTTTCCATGGCATCCCCGTAAATCTTACGCGTTTAAATTTTTTGACGTATCTTGACCAAAATGGATTAATAGGGGATCAGTACCAAAGATGAGGGACAAATTGAGGTTTTAACCAAGAAGAAATCATGGAAGGGAGAGAGAGAGAGAGAGAGAGAGAGAGGAGTGATCGGATACCGGAGGTAAGAGAAATGAGAAGGTTGCGTAAGGGTAGTTATGTAATTTTGTTTGCTAGTTTTCGATGATAGGACATTTCTTGATGATGACTGTGCAAGCTCAATCTTAATTGAGTGACTTCTGCTAATGCATCTTCTGGGAATATCCTCTAGACTTGCCGGTGTGGTCATGCCACTAATTGAATTATTAAAATTATTAAAATTGTGTTAAGAATATTAATTATATTTTATTTGATTATTAAAAATAATAATTATTTATTATTTATTAAATTAAAAGTAATTTATAAATTAATATTTTTAAAAATTATAATTCTCTATTTGAAAATATTGAAGTTATCGTGTCAAAACTGCGATATAATAGCGGCAAAATGAATAGAAGTGTGAACTGAACCAATACCACAGTAGCAAAAGTGACAGTCACATGGAGTTGCACAAATAATCAATGTGTTACGTAGAAAAATTTATTGCATTAAGTAGAAGTTAGTATTTATGTATTATGAGGTTTCTGCTATATCATGGCAGAAGATAATGAAGAAAAATGGGTTCCCAGGTCCTCTTTCCACCCTTTCCCAAAAAACTCCAAACAAGGAAAAAGCTACAAATATCAATAAAATTAAATACAAATTTAATAGTGTTAACAATTCTATTAGTGGTAATAACCACACCTTTGATGTCTGTTCACTTGCTGCCTAAAGGTTTGATTCTTTTACTTGATAAAATACGTAGAAATTTTCTTTGGGGGGTGGAGCGAACAATAGGAAGATCAATTGGGTTTGTTGGGAAAATGTGTGTAGAAGTAAATTTGATGGTGGGTTAGGTGTGAAGGATCTTAGAAAGTTTAATTTAGCGTTGTTAGGCAAGTGGTGGAGTAGATTGGCGGAGGGAGAGGAAGGTCTTCTATATAGGGTTATTCGTGAGAAATATGGTAGTAGTGGAGGTAATTGGTTGAATTGGATTGAAGAGGGGAACCAGAAGGGGTCCTTATGGTGGAGGGATGTATGTAGATTAGATTATTCGTGCACAAGTAGAGTTGACTGGCTCTTAGATGGCTTTAAACTAAAGTTGGGAGAGGGTAATTCTGTTAAATTCTGGGAGGATGTCTGGATTGGGGACGAGTCACTAGCTAATAAATTTCCCAGACTCTTTTTGAATTCTTTAGGCAGAACAAAGAGCATTTCTCAAATGGGATTCTGGAGCAATGGAAGCTGGAATTGGTCATTAGAATGGAGGAGACCTAACTTCTCCTGGGAGGAACACTCGATGGCGAAGCTGTGGAGGATGTTGCAGACTATCCAACCAATTAAGGGACAAAAAGATCGATGGGAGTGGAGGCATGATCAAGGTATTTATTCAGCTAAATTGGGATATCAAGCTCTTTCCAACAACCACCAATAGAGTAGGAACAACTTGTATAAAAGAATTTAGTGCAGGCTAGTCCCCACAAAAATATGTGCCTTTGTTTGGAAAGTCCTACAAGATAGAATACCCTCCAAGGTGAATCTGTATAAGAGAGGGATTGTTCCAGATCTCAATCTAGCTACATGCATGTTATGCAATGAGAGTATTGAAGATATAAATCATCTATTTCTTCATTGCAAGTTTGCATATGCAGTGTGGTCCAAATGTCTCCAATGGTGGAGAATTTCATCTATTAGAGCTGACAATTGCTATGCATCTTTTGAACAACAATTAGCCTCCTTTAAAAATGTAAACATCAGGGCAGGTTGGGATGCAGTCTGGTGTGCAACAATCTGGTCTATATGGATTGCTAGAAACGAAAGGGCTTTCAGAAACCATGAGCAAGATGTCAATAGGATTTTTGAGTTGGTGCACCTGCGGACATTCCAATGGATCAAAAACAGAACAGTAGGGTTCTCTTTTAATCTATGCAATTGGATGTTGGAACCTATGGAATGCTTGAAAGATAAAAGGGGAGAAAACTATAGTGCTGCAGGACGGGGGCTAGGGGTGGATCCATGACAGCCTTAAGGTGATCCTTATCTACTGTTCTTAGCTAAAGGATCAAGTATTGGCCTCATGCTTTTCCTCCCTATTTTGCTATGTATTGGTTTGTAGTGTAACGGGTTGGAGTACCCCTTGTACTCCCTTTTATTACTTAATAAATACCTTTTGCTGTGCCAAAAAAAAAAAAAAAAAAAAAAAAAAACCACACCTTTGACATGCCTCCTATTTAAGTTCTTTCGTCCCAGTAGTTGGCTCCATCAACTTCTCTCATCAGAATTAAAAAGAATCAGTCTTGCAATTGATGCTTCTTATTGAATCAGAAAGAATCAGTTTTGTTATCAGTGTACAACTTCCTTTCTGCCAGCAGCAGGTAAACTATCTTGCTATTGATCTTCAATGTTAATTTTGTTATATATTTTGTTATATATATATATATATATATATATATATAATATGTTCTCTTTACAGTATGTATACCTAAATTGAACCTGCTGCCATTTCTAGGAATTTGTTTT